CGATTTCATTAATTTAATGCAATAAATGTTTAACCTTAGTGTGTAATGTTATGGACCTAAATAAACATACACACAATGTTTCGTATGTTTTTCGTTATTTATTGTGCTTTAAAATCCGAGCTCTAGTCATTACTTTATATTTTTAAAAAAATTGAATATAATTTAATATGGTCACACCAATCACACAGATGATTTAAGTAATATTGAAGCATGGCGGCATCATCAGATGTTTTCTTAATACAATATAATAATTTAAGACCATCAGAAAATAATAACATTATTTATGGGAGTTTATAATGTCATAAATTAATAAATTAAATAAGAGCGCCACGATATGAGATTCTTGAGAGACGCCAGAAGTCACATTAAAATGACTTGAACAAAAGTTTTTTTATATTTGGGTTTTCTTTTAGATATAAACAGTGTTAGGACTTATCTGGATAAATTTATATAGATATATTATCCAAGTATTTATTTTTTTTATCTTTGATCTTATCTAGGTAAATAAATATAAGTTCTCTAATGATTTATTTTAGATAAAAATTTAACATATCTAGATAAATTTACAAGATACATTTTTTGGTGGAAATTAGTTAGGTCTGTTCCAAAATGTTTCATTTTTATTCTCATTATCTCGGGCACAACTTGAACTTAAAATTGTATTTTATTTAATTTTCTCGATAGTGTTTATATTTTATTTTAACCTGTTATAAATATTATTTCTAAAAATATTATTAACTAGTTGTATTTTGTTTTTGGTCCACTCGACACCTACTTTACAGCAGGGTGACTTCAGCCATTTTTATTTATACTTTGTTACTCCCTTGGTCCCTTGGATCTTATTGGTTGGGTAATTATGTAATATGTGTTGAAGTTAATGTTTGGTGATACACAACATGATATTACAAATTAAGTCGAAAATAAACATATTATATAGGCATGTACTTACTATGTATATTTGTTTTTTTTAAATTAGTTGTTTTAATTTTTATAATTATCTGTTATTTATCTAGATAAAATATTTTTATCTTTTTGTTAGATAAAATTTATTTTTTTCATCTCTATCTTTATCCAGATGATTTTTTTGTTATCTGTTCCTAACCTTGAAATAAAAGGTCTCGAAAGCCTAGACAATGTAATTTGACAGCAACAATATTAATAATATAATCGATAGTGTGATAAGCTTTTGAAAAATCTGTAAATACAACGTCGACCTGCAGGCCTGATTTAAATGCATCCAAGTAATAATTTTGGACCTACCAGCTACTTGATGATAAATCCATGCAGCAATACGATGCTCATAAACACATTAATAATTTTATGATTTTAAAAAATTGGATTAATTATTTTAGACTAAGTGCTTTTAAATATTTTTGATATTGTTGAAATTATTGTAATCGGACAATCGTTTGTTACTTGGCTAATATCCAAGGCTGGGCATCAAAGAGTTAAAAGTTCAAATTAAGTTAAAACCTTAAGTTAATTTTAATTAAGTTAACTAACTCTTTACTTTTTTTTTCTAATAACCTTTTAACTTAATAAGTTACTTTTATAAGATTAACTTGTTAACTAGAAGTTAATTTTATTCAAAACTATCTAAATTAAGGTCATTTTCGTACCCGAAGAATAATTACAATTTTTGAATGAGGTTTTTACTTTGATGTATCATTTCAAAATTAACCAATCATTTTCTTGACTGTAAAGAAAAACTATCTAATAAACCGTATTATGAATCTGGAATTTTTTGCAAATTAGAAAATTAGAAAATTTTAAAGTTTAAAGTTTAAACTAAGTTAAGTTACTTTTTTTCAAAGTTAACTATTAACTTGACGAGTTAACGAAAAAAAATATGAGCAACTCTTAATTTAACTTAAGTTTATTATTTTAAAATAACTTAACTTAACGAGTTAAAAAAAAAAAAATGTTAATTTACCCAACCTTGCTTATATCTAGTACAACCTATCAATATTTCACTAAATTCGTTGAGATTTAAATGCAAGGTATTATTTAGTGGGTTTTTTTGGTGTACTTTGTGAATAATTGTTTATAGTTTAATTTACTTATTTCCAAGGCTAGGCATTAACGAGTTAAAAAGTTAATTTAATTTAATTTTTTTTTCTTTTTTTTTCTTATTATTTTTTCTTTTTTATTGTGTAACCAGTTACTTTTGGCTTTTCATCAACTTAACTGTTCACTTATTAAATTTCTTTTTTAATTAACGTGAAATAATTATTTTTTTATTTTAAGAAGGAAGTTAAGTTAATTTATTTTGTTTTTAATTTTATTATATTTCACTATTTCAGCCAATTTCGTTTTCATGTCAAAACATATTTACCGCGAATTGTTTAAAGTAAAAAATGTATATGTATGATAGTTTTTTGAATGACAAAAGACTCGTTAACGACATAGTACACTGATTTTAACTGCCCGCAATATTAACCAATAAACATTATATAATATAACGGAAACCAAAAAAAATTAAATAAATAAAACCAGCTCTTCTAGGTTTTTCTCGACTGGTCCATCGGGGCCTGATAGACTCGCGGTGCGGGGTTTCGGCAGACAACGGCCCGTTACAGATATATAATGGAGGAAAAAACCTGACCTTTTTCGATAGCCATCGCTGATGGGTTTTTTGCCACCGTTTCGATCGAACGACGTCGTGTATTTTATGTATTATTGTAGACGACTAATCGTTAAGCGCCCGCGGGGTCGGTCGCGGCCCCGGTGACTCTGACTCGAAAGTTTTTCGATCATAAATCATGTGCGGATTTTTCGTTTAAAACGCCACCGGGCCCGGTCAAAAAAAGCGACGCGAACCGACCGCGACGATGACGACGGCGCCGTCCGGGGCCGCACATAATGGTCAGAGGTAAAAATAATAATATGTTCGTGTGTGTGTGTCGTGGGAATGTCATAAATCACGACGACGACGACGAGGAGATAAATATTATATACGGCCCCCGGTGAGCCTTTCGTATCTATCGTCGTCAGGTGAATGCGGATTTCTGGCGGTTCCGACTATACAATATAATATAATACGTATAATATAATGGACGAGGGCCATTTAAAGACTCGCGGGTAATGAGCTATATAATGCAACTACACACGCGCTCTCGTATAATATTAAGGTCGTGTTATCTTCATTATTATTATTATTATTATTATTATAATAGTGTGGACACGGAGGCGCCACGTCGAACAGCGACGACGGAAACGCTGACGAGTCGTGATAAACGCTCGGAAGGATCGCCATCAGCTGGCTGTCCGTCGCTTTTCATATTATTATTATATTATTGTTAGGTGCACATTTCGCTTGTTCTAGACAGCTATACATAATATACAAAACGATATTACGACGAAATGTTGTGTAAACCCGTCATTGTCGGTGGTGACACGTATTATCGATTCGAAAACTATTAACGATTTTAGAAAAGTTTTGATTTTTTCCACTTTAATTTCGAGACATCGCGTTTTTAGGAAAAAAATTAATATTTTTTACGGTTTTTATCGTTTTTTAAAATTAAATTTTAGTACGTTTTGGATTTAATTTTTTACTTCCCTATATGTGTGAGGGATGAAAATCCAAAACGTACCATCGCCAAAATACTGATTTTTCAGGAGAAGCGATTTTCTGTATATCAACATTTCCAATGAAAACAAACCGTTTATTACCAGACAAATCATTTTGAAAAAAAGGTATTTTTTAAATTATTTGATAATATTATATTATTTGTATTTAAAACGGTTCGAATGTGTTATATTATATTCTAGAGTTATATTTTTAATTTAAAACTTAATTAAAATTTTAAAACTAAATTTTTGTACGTTTTGGAATAACATTAAAAAGTATGTTTTGGATACGGTTCGTCTTGGTACATATTGATTGCTGCATATTATTTTAACATGGGTACGTTTTGGTGTAAAACTGGAAAAAGCACGTTTTGATTTTCTAAATATCATTTTTATGTACGGACATGGTTCGTTTTGGTTTAACCGGTAATTTTTTATTGCAAATTTGAACAGAAAATAGTATTTTTTGATCGATCCTGATGACGCCGATTGATTTATCGATGTTTTTCAGTATGAAACGATATCTAACTCGATTTTGTTAATTTTGGCAATAGTAGGTTTTTGATTTCAACCCCTAAAATATCGTCTTCAAGTTTGTTTAAATAGTAAAAAAATTAGAATTGGAATATAATATGCATTTTTAAGCACAAAAATAGAGTGAGAATGCTTAAGAAATCACATTTTATTTAGGTACTCTATTATAGTTTAATATAATTAACATAATATTGTTTAATGGCATGATTTTGATTTGCCTATATTGTTTTAGTATTTATTTATTAATACCGAATATTATATTGTTATAACAAAGTGATAGTTTTTGGTGCCATGAGTTGGTACGTATCTGCCTGATATAATAATGTATTACAACAATGTTCAGTTGTTATTGTCATATAAGAAGAATTTTATTTAAAGAACATTTCTAAATCATTTTCACTATTATTTAAATTATTGTAGAGACAATGTTCCAAAATTGTACTTATATATAGATAAGTATAGAAAAAGTACCTTCTCTTAGAATGTTAACTACGAGCTTATAACTGATTATAGATATTTTATTAAATGTCTTGTAGTAGATTAAAAATAAGTATAAGATAGTGGAAAGGAGATAGGTAATAATAAATAGTAAAAACAGTTATTATTATATATTAAAAAAAGTTAGTGTTATATTTTAGGTATATGTTATCGGTGTTCTGATATTATTTAAAGTTGATTAGTGATTTTATATCTTTAGTTTAAAGGATATACCTATACGTATGATTTATCTACTACTCTATATTATATCTCGTATCGTATAATAATGTACATACATAAACGTATTACGAAATACAGGTTAGGTTAACTACTCAACTACTATTATTGATGATAAATGGAATTTTGTTGCTGATCAACTTAATTTAGACGACAAAAATTTTTCACATTATGTGGAAATGGACAATAATGTACATGTATGTGGAACATGGACAGATAACGAAATTTTATCAGAAACCATAGAAAATACCAGCGAGAGTGAAGACGAACCACAAAATGAGGAGGAAGTCATTTTTACCCAAGTAACAATTCAACAAGCTAAAGATGCTTTAAATACACTAAGGAATTTTGTTGAGACTACTACAGGTATAGATGATAAGACTTTTTCTGCATTAAATAATTTGGAAGACGTCGTGGCAGAAAGAATTAATATGAAGCAAACCTTAATGACAGATTTGTTTAAAGAAAAATAATTTATTCAGTCATTTCAGTATTTTAATTATTCAAATTTTAGTCTATTTTAGTCATTCGTATTATTTATTATTCATATACATTATACAACATACATTTATATTAGTTTTTTTATTATTCAAATTATGTATTTTAGGCATTCGTATTATTTATTATTCATATAAATTATACTACATACATTTATATTAGTTTTTTTATTTTTTAATAAAACTCGATATCTCGAAGTTTTCGATATCTCGAACTTTTTTCTGTTCCCCTTGAGATTCGACATAACGAGAATCTACTGTATTATAATTAATTTACCTGAGTACCTATGTAGTCGTATTCGTGGATATGGGGTTGAGTTCGATGTTCGATGTTGGTATTTCACTGCGGTATATATAATATATGTATATTACGTGTCTTGATCTGTATATTCAATACTTAGTATATATTAAGAGATATTTTTTGGTTAGTTCTATGTATAATATTGATGCGATTCGAACACTAATATTATATGAACTTGTCATCTATGATTTGGGACGTGACTATTATCGTATGCTCTAAGAAATTCATACATCAGCAGCAAACGTACTTAGTCGACTGGCTAACCGAATGTAATTTAAGTTAAATGAGCACTTCAAATTACGCTTATGTTCTAAATAAATAAGTATGATTAAGATCTAAAAACAATTAAATAATATTAATACGTGTCTAAAATTGTAACTATGCTATTATACGACGACAGTCACGGAGTCTGGTATTGTAGGGGGTTGGATAGATAAATAAATTTAAAAAAAACAAGGTGAATTTGTTGAGTAATATGGAATAATTAATTGGACGCCAAATGCTGGAATAACTCAATATACATTCATATATAAGCTTTGAATATAAACTTTGAATGGCAAAAATATATGGCAAAAGTGCATACTGGATTGGAAGTTGTGCCTCGGGTCGTCTCACAGTGTTCCAGAAATTTGATTTAGGTGGACAAAATTAGAATTTTCATAATCATTAATTGAACATAAAAATGAATTTAATTTGTTGATAGTCAGTCACTAATGTCTAATTATATAATATTGGTTTTTAAATTGATACGCTATCGCATACAGTTATAATAGTGTACTGATTATACTAATAGTCTGAGATAAGATTTTCAATTACCAGCTAAATTGTTTGAGCGTATAGGTTTTATACCGTTAGTGTCGTTCGTTGAATGAAGTTAGTCCGTTCATTTTTCTTCAACATTATGGATACACTAGTGGAAGGTATATATATATATTTTTTTTTATTAAGTTTTGCATGAACAATTTAAGTTATATATATAGAAATATTTAAAAATTTAAGATACATTTTTTTTTTTTTTAATTATTGAGGATACTGAAAAATAGTAGTGGATAGTAGAGGTTTGAACTTGGTGTTTTCTATTAGCTTAACTTGTCATCTAAACTATATTATATAATTTGGTTGCGGCAAGTTGCTGCACAATACATAGTAGGTACCTATTATATTAAAAAAAACTATCATATTTTTCAAATTCGTCAAAAATTATATTTCACCATAAAACCAATTAATGACAAAAAAAAATAACTTATGTAACTTTTTATGTGACACAGAAACAGAGAAAGAAGAATACGAAGCAGCTACATCTGATGGAGAATCTGTCGGTTCTAGTGATTCTGATTTATACAATAATATGTAAAAAAAGTATAATCTAATTATATCATTAGAATAAATAATATACTAACTACTAAGCAGTTTATTTTTTTTAATTCTAAAAACCCGAATTTTAAAAATATGATCTAAGTATCCGAAAAGTAAAACAATTTTATAAATAAATAATTTTGTCCTGCTAAAAACCTTTTCTGGAACACTGTGCGTCTTGTGGAAAAAACTGGGTGGCCAGTCGATCCCGCGGGATCCTTATATAATATGATTTTGGTGTAATCCCTTCTTCTTTCATTGATGTGTTTATTACTTTGCCTTCAGCGGTACGACAGAGGTGCCTCTGGTTATTTATCGTGTTATGTTTCAACGTCTTGATCGGAAAATTGTCGACGGGGTCTTGAAGTAGGTATATGAGTTCCAATGCGGTGTCGTCTGGCGCCGTCGATAATTGATGATTTTGTTTTTACTGAGCGTCTGGTCGGAGAGGTGTTGAATATTATTTATGTTTTGCATGTGCCGTGTTTGTGTACGATAAATATGTAAATATATGCCTAATGCGTGTATATGTAAATACAGTATGTACACTGAGTCACCCAGTGGCGTACACATGGGGGGGGGGGTTTGGGTGTTCAAACAAATACGTAATAACGTAAAAATGTATAATAAAAATGATGACAATTTAAAAAAATATTATATTCTAAATTATACTCCATTATATTATAACTTGTAAGCAATCCAGTTTGTTGTTATAATATATTGTAGATATTATTGATAACTTGTTACAAATTAATGAAATTATTGGGAAATTGTTGGGTCGACAATCGTGTAATCCGATATAATATGCCTTAATAGCTATCGCAGTATCGCTAATACTATAGTATAGAATCTATTTCTCAGTTTTCAATCAAATTCCTGACGCTTTGGACGTTTAGTAAATTGTACTTACTGTTTAAATATTTTATAAAACAATATAAATGAAAAGAATAAACGAATATTTTTCTAACTCACTAATTGATGATACAATTAACTCGGAGGAACCAGGTAAATATTTAATACATTATATTATCAACCCAGGACCTAGGTACAAAAAAATGATTAATATGGTAAAAATAAATTTCTCTTTATACCTATCTTTTATTGAATTGTATATAATATATTATTATATACATATTGTATGTACGCGTGTAACTTTGTAGTTATACTAAATAATTACCTGTAGGTAATAGGTATATATTTTTTAAATAATAATCGAGAATTGTAAAAATATTTTTAATTTCACCTTAAGTCATTGCTAATGAGCCGATTACTCATTATTTACAAAATAATTACTATAATTACATCGTTTTGATTCATCAATGTATTATATATATATGTATATAATTTTTTTTATATGTAAGCCCCCCCCCCCCCCATTGAAAATAGCTGTGTACGCCACTGGGGTCACCCCACACTCCATACGGACCGTCGCTATTAGTTATTCTGTGTTTTTATTTAAGTATAGCAATATGATATATTACAGTTTGTAATCAAAAAAAATGTCTGTGACAAAAAAAATTCCATAGGCAATATTGTAAACAAAATATTTTTATACTTTATTTAGCTTATAAAACAGTGCATATGCATAGCTATTTAGTACGTTGTAAGAGAATTAAGATTCGGGCCCAAGCCTAGAAGTATTTTAAGTAGTATTGATGAGCAGTGTTGAATAGCAAAGTGGTATGACGATTATAAGAGGACGCGATACCCGCATGTGTTGTCTTCGTCTTACAAGTGCGTGACATAGAAAATTCTACTCAAAGCAGAACACTTGTAGCTCAGTTGGTTTAAAAACTAGAGCGAATTGACCTCTTATAAAATCTTATGGTAATATTATTACCTAGACAAACTCATGGGCTTTTATTATATTTTAATCTTAAAGCGACCTATGAGTATTTTAAAATCGTAAATTGCTAGTACATTTTAAAGTACTCATGACTCGTATAAAAATTAAAATATAATAAAAATCTCATGAGGCTGTCTAGATAATAATCTTACCTTTAGATTTCATAAGAGATCAATTTACTATAATTTTTAATTTAACGTAGCTAAGCGTGTTTTTCTGAAAAATTTGCTATGTTATGCACTTGTAAGACGGAGACAACGTAATTTAAATATGTCTATTATGATATCAAAATGTGTGTTGTCATACGAAAAAGTAATAACTCAAAAATGATTACGATAAATAATTGTAAAAAATTGGTTACTCTGTAACAAATTTAAATTAAAAAGGTGGGCCAGTGGGTGTCGCTCTGCTGTACAGTAGGTTACAAGTGGGTCACTGTATAATGGATGATATTAAATTTGAATTCAACGATATAAAAACTGTGCCTATGTATTTTTAATATTTTTCAACTGATATTATAACAATATATCAGGAGCCTTGTATTAAATTTTTACACTTTTGGCCCAACAGATAAAACTTTATTGATATTTATAGAAAAAAAAAAACTAAAAAAAATTGAAAGCTGTAAATGTCCATAAACAGCTCAAAAAGAGTCAAAATATTTTCAAAATTGTATGGTGTATAGAAAATGCTAATTTAAACATTCAGTGAAATTTTCATGTATCTACAGTTATTTGTTTTTGAATTACAACAAAATAAGGAAATCGCTACATGGGAAATCGAGTGAATATTCAATGTTGTAAAAATTTGAATTTCAAACGCTCATAAAAATTTAATTTGACTTTCTTATAAACATTTTTCTTTTGATAAAGGTAGACAAACTTATAAGGAATCTTGTGTTTAATTTTCAAATCTTAGATTTAAAAAGAAAAATTTTTACGAATTCTTAACTCAAAATAATTTGCTAATTTTCGTGATTTTCCCATATTTTGTCAATTTTTGAACTTTAAATGCTTATAAAAAAAATTGTGACTAAGGATTTTTAATATTTTTCATCTGCCTTTGAAGCAATATATTAGGAGCCTTCTATTAAATTTTCAAGCTTTCGCAACCAACAAATAAAATTTTATTGATATTTTTAGAAAAAAAACTAAAAAAAAATGGAAAATGAAAATGTCCCTAAACAGTTCAAAATAAATCAAAATATTTTGAAAATGTTATCGTGTATAGAAAATGCAAATATAAACAACCAGTGAAAATTTCATGTATATACGTTCATTTGTTTCAGAGTTACACCAAAAACCAAAATCGATTTTTTGGAAAACCAATTTTGCGTAAAAATTTCCGTTTTTCCTTAATTTTTATGTTGTTTTTTCCCGGCGCTTGTGAAAACTACTGGGAAATTTATACTTTTGACCCCCCAAAGTACCAACTAGGTTCACTTTCCTATCAGAAAAGCTACTGATGAAGAAA